ATGGTTTCTTTTGAAGTACAGAAGCTTTTTAGTAAGATGAGATCCCAGTTGTTGATTCTTTCTGCTAGTTCCCGTGCTACTGAGGATTTGTTCATAAAGTCTTTTCCTATACCAATGTCTTCCAGAGTTCTGCCTAACTTACTTTCCAGCAAGTTTAATGTTTCTGTTTTAATATTTAGATCTTTAATCCATTTGGATTTTAATTTAGTGCATGGCGAAAGATAAGGGTCTAATTTTAATCTGTGACAGGTTGATATCCAGTTTTTCCAACACCATTTATTAAAGAGGCTATCTTTCCTCCACTGAGGATGGTGAGCTCCTTTGTCGAAGATGAGGTAGCTGAGTACATTTGCATTTGTTTTTGTGTCTTCCAGTCTGTTCCATTGATCCTCAGGCCTATTTCTTTGCCAGTACCATGCTGATTTTATCACAGTGGCTTTGTAGTATAGTTTCAAATTGGGAAGGAATTTTGTTTTTAAGAAGGGTATTTAAATGTGCAATGACAGTCTGGGAAATTCACACTTACATTATAAAGCAAGCAGGTCAGAACTTAGTCCCTATTAGTATATAGCCACAGATCCTTATGGTAGTGGCAACACTGGCTTCATCCTCTTCTAATTTTCCTTCAGTCTACTCTAACTAGCCTCTTTTTAGAAACAAATACAAGTAAACAATTGAATATTCTCTATGTTTTATTTGTTCAACAGTTTCTAAGCTTCCACCTGATGGTCCTACTTCTCAGCTTGATGCCTCTCATACGCCAGGGACTCTGAACACAGTGTCTCACTGGCCTGTTGACGTTCATTTGCTTTTCGGAGCTGCGCCAGTTCAGATTCAATTTGTGGGTCCAGTTAATGAACTGGGATAGAAATGCAAAGGAACTTTGGATGGAATAAAATACAGCTCCTTCCAGTCACTGTGCCTTCTATTACTATCTAACAGTGAGCACTTACTATGTGTTAGGTTGGTTGAGAGCTTTGTCTGCAGTACTGCGTTTAATACTCCCAACAGCTGAATGATGTCGGCATGGTAGCGATAGTAATGAAAACACACTGTACATAATAGCATTACTTTTAAGTACTGCTACGTGCTATGTGTTACTGTATGATTTTTTTTTTTTTAATCAAGAATTACAGGCCCAGTGGCCCATGCCTGTAATCCAACACTCTGGGAAGCTAAGGTTAGGAGGATCAGAAGTTCAAACCCTGCCTGGGATGTTTAGTGATCTCCTGCGTCAAAATAAATAAAAAAGAGCTGAGGATAAGAAGGCCCTGGATTCAATTCCCAGCATCACCAAAACCAAAAACCAAAAACCAAAATCATGAATTCTCTTAACCACTACACAAAGCATTATGATCTGTATCTAATGTATCTGATCCATGAAGAAACAGGAAAGAGAAGTTGAATAATTTATCCCAAGTTATATACACAATAAATATCAGAGTTGGCTCAAGTCTACATCTGTCTGAGTCTAATGCCTAGATAAGCTTTCATTGTATCAACTTTCTTGTCAAACACTCCAAAACACTGGTGAGAGAGGAAGAGAAAACTAGGTATGATGAAATAAAAACTATCCAAGAGATTTATCAATACCGTAATCAAAATACAGCCTTCCTTACTGTGACATATGACTTCGGGACTTCTATCTGGGGTTGAGCTGATATGAATAGAAGCATCACGATTCTGCCATACTACATTTTTTCTCTGCAGTGCTGGTGATGGAACCCTGGGTCTCATGCATGAGCTCTACCACTGAGCGACATCCCCAGTCCTACTGCCATATCCTCTACTTTACTGTCACTATTACATGGGCTTATCCTGCTCTTTGACTTTTCCTTTTCTTCAAGCACATATTCTCACCACGGAAGAGAAGGTAATCTCTCTACCACTAATATTATGCTACAGTAACCTTTATTGCCGAGCAGAAGTTTGCTTCTGAACACAAAGAGAGATTCCCTCTGAATGAGATCTCGTAGAATGGTGTGTCTCCCTGAAACTGGTCTGGGAAATAACATTGTTCTCACGGTCCTATACAGAGTAATCCTGATTCTGAAAGCAGAACTGAAAAGGAACCAAATGGGGTGTTTTGCTACATGAATTTCCAGGACTAAAAATAACAATACTTACTACTTGAAGAAGGGCCAGATATCCTGCCCCAACGTTGTCAAAGTTGATCTTCACATTCTTCCATCTGATCTCTGTGTTGTTCCCCTCCATCAGCTTTTCACATTCAGTTTTATTGTTGACATCTTCAATTTCAAACCGGATTTCAGAAGTCTCATTAAAGCAGTAGTGGTACTTTCCGGCAAACAGGTTAACACCCATGATGCTGAAAATCAGCCAGAAGATGAGACACACCAGCAGCACATTCATGATGGAGGGGATGGCACCCACCAAGGCATTCACCACCACCTGCATTGGAAGGGGGAGGTTGCTGAGTGTTGGAAGAAAGTGGGAGAAGCACATTCTTTTGATTTCCAGGAGGGGAATGACTTTTTTTGTGTAGCTTTTTCTGCTAATGGAAACATTATGCTCTCTTTGGAATTGGAGTGACTGGACAGATCCTTAAGTAGGATCCCAAATTTCTAATCTATGAATTATATTTTGGGAAAATTTTAAAAAATTATATCTTTATTTAAACTAATAAAAACTTCCCTGCCCAATTGACCCTGATCTTCTCTTCTAGGCACCAACCTGGGTGAATTTCTTAGTCCAGTCTCCCTCCTCTTCAATTCATAAAATATGCCCCCATGAGAAAATCTGAGCAATTGCAAGCTCACTAGTCACCTTTCAACAGACATTCCCCCTCTGAAAAACAAGACATGATTGTTCAAAATTGCTCAGAACTGCCTTTTGTGTAAGCAGTGAACCACTCAATGGTATATAATGTCTATTTCATGACTATGCAAGGCCAGTTATCTTATTTCAGGCAATAGCTGAGCATGCATATTTTGCAGGCTCAAGAAAAAAAGCTATATTCCCTCTACCAAACAGTATATAATGAAATCTGAACATATGTGTTTTTCACTAGTTCATTTTTCTTTAGCCTTTTCTTCTGACTTGGTAGGTTTCTAAATCTAAGTCACCCCTGCTCGGCTAATGCTGATCTGCTCAGTCCAGGGCTTGATTCCATTCTTCACAACGTATCAAAAATAAAAACTGTTAAGTTTTTTGTTTTTTGTTTTTGGTACTGGAAATAGAACTCAGGACCTTGTACTTGCAAGGCAGGCATGGTGCCACTGAGCTAAATCCCTGGCCCCATTTTTTTTGGTTCTTGTTTTGTTTTGTTTTATAAAAGCGTTTTGGATTAGATCACTGCTCTTGAAACTCGACAATTGGCATATTGTTAAAAATCACTGATTACAGTAAGCTCAGGCATTTTAAAAAAAAGGAAAAAGCTACTAGGAATTTAAGATTTTAGGTTGTTTTTAACTGGGATTTTGCTTCACACTTGAATGAAGTAAGAGTGACTTCACAACACCTGCACTGTTGTAGTAGTTTTCACTAAAGGTGCTCATGTGTTTCCAAAGGTCACTTTTTAAGTGGCAGGACAGAAAACAAGACTGGTTTCATCTTTTTCCCAATTCTTTCTTACTGTTATCTTAAGTGGGGCTGCTAACTCAGAAAGGTTTCACTAATGCAATGTGGGGAAATGTCTTCCTTTTTCTAGAATCTGAGGTGGATTAATGGAGTAAAAATAATGACACTGGATATAAAATGAAGTCTGTCTTCTCATGTTTTGCCTGGAAAAGGTAACAAATATTACCATGCCCCTACATTAGTTTTTCAGGGCACGTAAGTCACAAGTAGCTGCCACCCAACATAGCATGGAAAAAGTGGGAAGGTCATGCTGTGCAAGGGAGGCCAGGGGGCAGCTCTGGGGTCTCTTTTGAGTTCTACAGGGTTTAGGTTTTCCTCATCTTCAGTTTGGCCTTAAATTGCATTGCTATTCATCAGAACATGTGTCTGAGAAGAGATACCTGGTTTTATCTTGCATAAAAAAGGCAACAACATTTTGCTAGGGAGTCATTCTCTTTTAGGTTAAAATACTTGTTTTCTTGTTTCTTCAATTTATATATGAATTCCTTGAGATTGAGAGGCAGTTATTTCTTAATTCTTAGACCAAGAAATCTCTTCTAGATCTGATAGCTCTGTCATTAGTATAAAATATTTATCATTGTGAGTAATATCTGAAATTTGGAACTCTGAATATCTGAAATTTGGAAAATTTCCATGTTGTTTTGGAGAATGCAATTAATTTATATGTATTTATGTTATCAAATTGGTCAGGTAATCAGATTTGAGTTTTATTTCTTCATTCTACAGCTGTTCACCCTTTGGTGGGAGCACCAAAAAGCAATGAAATGTGCAAAAGAGCAACAGGCAAAAGGAGGATGGTCCACAAATGGCACAACCATTTTTTAAACAATGAGAGGTTATGTAAAGATTTAAAAGCTCAAGTCTATATGACAGCAGTTTGCAGCAGAGCTTAAGTGAGATCATGACCTTCTGTTGCACGATTACCAATGTGAAGTAGGGAAGTAGGCCCCAAAATGCGGAAACCTAAAAATGCTGTTTTTTCTCTCAATCCAGAATCTACCACCTCCAGGAACCCTTTTCACCTATATAGAAAATGATCTCAAAACTTCTACTTGAACCCACGTTACCCCATCCTACATGGTGTCTATGTATTAAAAGTTAAATATGGATAATATTTATAGCATGGAAAAATCATCTAAGCGATGTCTTTGAACTTCTATATTCATAGATCTGATCAAAGGGCTCAATAAACAAGAGAATCTATTGAGTCTTATTTCTGACTATGACAAAAATCCTAATAGAAGCCAAAGTATTTGTAAGATGCTAATGTACCTTCATTTATCAATTACAACCCCCCCAAAAAACTTAACTTAGCTTCACCAAATAAGTAAACAGTACACTTTACTAATAATTCCTTATTGTGAACATCAGCTGATAAGCTACCACATGTTAAAACAGAAATTGTTTAACAGTGGTCCAAACAGAATTATCATTGCACTGTTTCTTTCAGCAAGCAAGAAACCAGTTTCCACAGAATGAGAAACCAATTTTTATTTTGAACTCATACTAAAGATACATTATAAATGACAATTCAAATTTCTACTGATAGTTGCTGGATATATGAGATCTTCTCTTTTTGTCTCTACTACTCCCTAGTTATAGTGTCTAATCATGATGAAATGTATTATGGCTAAAAACTAGACACAGTATAGAAATATTCAAAGTTAGATTCTAGAATTCTATAAAAGATTCTATAAAAGCTACTTTTCAATGGAAATTTGTATTTAATAATTGATACAAATCTCAATTGATGAAAAATTTCCAATGGATTCTGATTCTTCTATCATTTTAATCTTTTCTTTGCCTAGATATTATTGCTGCCCATTAAATATTATAAAATTTGTCAAACAGCTTTTAATATCTGGCAGAGGGAACATGGCTTTAATGGACAACTACATACTGACAACAAAAATGCATGCATGTTTCACAGCATTACTATTATATATCCTAAAAAATTTAATAGCACAGCAAAATCTTTAAGGACTACTATGAAGGAGAGAAAAGCAAAGAACTACGTTAAGTATTCCTTTGCCAATAGCAGGAGTGTTTCAATTTTCTGGTCTTTGGTTTGAGGAAGGAGAGAGGAGAATGAAGTGAATATCCCAGGACAGGCTGGGGGCAGAGGCTCCCTCTCAAGAGGTCTGAGTCTATAATTGGAGCAGCACAGTGACAGTTGAGCCCATCTGCATGGTTGGTGTTCAGTTCATGAGGCTTTCTTATTTGAAATGTTCTGGATGATAATCTCACAAATGCTGGCATACAGAATAACTGAAACTAAAGCATGAAAAACACATGTGCTCACAGAAAGGTAACATTTAAATAATGTATATGTACTTAATTCTATTTATTATTACTGGGAAACTTAGCCAAATTCAGTCTCTTCTTGCAATGCTTTCCATGGGATGGCTGGGACACTGCAGGGCAGGAACAGATCCCTGAGCCTTCTCACCAGCTATGGTCAGTACCACTGGCTAATTGGTGTCCAGTGAAATAGCATCCACACCAAAGCTTCCCTTGCTGAACATTACTGTTTTAAATTGCAGCGCTGGGCTCAAACTTGTTCTTGCCAATGTTATCTTAACTGAAAAGAGTTTGCTACAGACGCTTTCCAAACAAAACTTTCTACCATTCTGATTTCCTAGTCAAGAACCCTGTGCTTCTAAACTGAGAGTTGACGGTAAAATTTCTTTCATGGAATGGAAACAAATTCAGGGAAGCAGGAAAAAAGAGGAACTACAGTGGACTCTTGAGTTACAACTGTCCTGACATACAAACAACTTGGGTTACATCAGGAATTTGTTTCAACTTACAACCAAAGTATGAGTTACAACCTGAATGCTTGCCCTTGTGCTTCCAGATGGTCTCAGATACAGATTCAACCCTTAAAGGGTTCTGGAAGGAACATTACAACATCCTTTCCTGTTTGCTATCAGGGGTTAGTTGAGAAATCCTGGACCAGTGTCTCCTTAAGGACACGAGGTCTGCCTGTCCACAGGAGAGAGACTTGGAAGGCTGTGTAGAGGAGCCTGGGCCTTGAATTGACCAAAGTGAGTTACAACCAGCTCTCTCGAACAAACTGAGTTTGTTAAGTCAAGGGTCCACTGTAAAAGGAAAAGGTGGGATTACTGAAAGGGCTCCTGCGTCCAAATTACTCATGTAGCTTCCACATGAGCAAACTGGCTTCAGCTGGTCCCTGAGGACTTTTTCTGCCACAAGGACAGAGGTGACAGCAATGAGCAACTGAAGGAGGTTAATAACAAATGTCAGCTGGTTATTTGTGGGGGCAGAGTGAGAGGGATGCTTCCCTCAGATATGACCAATTTCTGTTTAGGAGAACCAGGACTACTGTTAGGGGATGTGAGGAATCGCAGGGATGCGTTGCAAGTATTATCCTCCATGAAACTTTTTTAGTTGCATGCTGTCCTCAGTTTTTCAGTCATCAAAATGAGTTACCGGCTCTATAACAAAACCACTATGATTTATTCAAAAATTTACATCACAAAAATGTGGCATGGCAGGAGTAGATATGAGCATTTTAAACTCTATATTCAGCCATGCCATGCTGTCTAAACCATTCAGTCCTATGCAGTATACTCTTTCTCTAACTTTAGCCTGACTGTGGCAATGACTTTATTGCACATGCTGAAACCATTCTTACCTGTGGGAGAAAGACTTAGAACCCCAGTTCTTTGTTTGGCTAAAATAAATTTGTGCTGTTGTATAACTGCCCTTCCTGCAGATGGTTTTGGGAGGGCTACAGAAAGCTCATGTGTAGTAAACCAAACTGTGACTGTGCTACAGAAGAAATATGAGTTTATTGCAAAAAGCATTTATCTGAATAAACTAAAATAATAAAATTCCCAAGTCCCAGTGAAATTTTCATCCTCCTGCAAAACTGTGGGTGCCCTTGTGGAACAGCAGCCAGGGATCACAGGTGAGGAATGAATGGAGCAGCACTGTCCTGGTACCTGGGTTTTCCAATCAGTCGTGCTTCGTGTGCACTATTACAATGTTTAAGTTTTATTCCTATATGCTGCTATTTGCACATTTAAAAACATATCCTCTGGTTTGCTCTCCTGCATGTATTCAACATCTGAATTGAAATGAGTTTTCTTGGTCTCGTTAAGTATATCAGACCTCTCTCATTACCTACCACAGGACAACTATCAACATCAAAACCAGCTGTCCACTTGATTTTAGATCAACTTTTTCGTGTATGTGCACATATGCACAATCATTAAAACCAGAAAGAACAAGAAAAAAGGCACCAAAAGAAGGAGCCTTATTTCTAAATTGGCAGGGTGATAGCCCCTTGCATTGTTTGGATTTGGGTGGAACATCACCCAAGCAGGAATAAGAAGTCTCAAGAATTTCAAAACTAGCTGATACTCAGTCATCTGGCATTGTTCCTGGTGTTTTGACAGTGTGAAGATAGGGGACCATATAGCATGGGCAGAGGGGTGGGGGTGAGGAGGAAAGCTTTGCTATCAGACAGAGGCTGCCAGTCCTTACGGGACTGGGCTGAGAACAACAAGGTGCAATAAGAGGAATCAGAATAGAAAGAAAAGCATTTCTTCTCCCAAATTCTGCTCCATCCCCAATTCCAGGCCTGCCATTCTGTCTGCAAGCCCCTTCTCCACTGCTTTCTCAGTGACTCCAAGGCCACAGTCCCCAGCTGGCCGATGGCTCTACACAGCACTCTCCCTGCCTGCAGCCCACGCTTTTCAGTGGGTCTAGGGTTGTAATTCCCCTTCTTTGCACCTGGTGATTCTCCCTATTAAATCAACAGCCCAGAAAGCCGCCCCAAGTGCTACAGGTAAGCCAGGCCACATGAGAATAGCCAATGTTAACATGTTCTGCGATGGCACGTTGTTGGGCGTGGGGCCAATATTAATGTGATGAGGCAGCTTAATGCAACTACCCTGCGCATGAGGCAGGTGCGAGGGAGAAAGTAGAGGATCAAATTGGCAGCTGCATCACAGAATTTGTGTTTGAATGATCTTTCCACCATGTGATCAGTTCTAGCATGCTTAAACAGTTTCCATTGGCATGCAGAAGGATCAGCTGCTCTTAGTATCTTACCCTCATCCCTTCAAATCGTGATAAGGCTCTTAAGGGTCTCAAAGCTCTTAGGGTCCTAAGGGACTTTATGGCACCTAGTTCCGAGTAGCCCAGGGCATTAGCTATAAGGCTGACTAAAGAGACCTACACAGAAACAGAAGAGAAAAACAAAAACAACAAAAAAGAGAAACAAAAACAAAACAAAACAAAACAAAAAAAGAGGTTCCAGAGTGTTAGAATAAAGCCCCTAGCACTGATTACACATATTGGGTCCCTCCCCCCAGGGTGAGGAAGTGGGTAACACCAGCTGCCTACTTCAACTTGACTCAAACGACCTGGAAGGAAAGGTGGTTGAGAGAGGCACAAGAAAAAACACAAAGGGAAGAGAAAATTGAGAGAAGGCAGTAGGACAAATGCACAAGTTGGAAAGGGAAGAGGCTGAAGGGAGAGGGAGAGAATGAGGAAGTTCCATTGGAAGGAGAGGAGCCTGAAGAGATGACAAGAACCTTACCCTCGCCCTTTACAGTCTCTGCAGGTCCCAGAAGTTCCCATTAAATTAAGCCAGACAAATTTAATGGTACCTATGGAAAAGAATACAGATAAATACACACTCCATAAAAGCTGCCCCCTCCTCAGCTCATTCACCATGGGTTTCCAACAGGGACAAGCTCTCTTACTCCTGGTTGACAAGAAACCATTGTTTGAGAATTTCATGAGTCACAATATCAACAAAGGAAACATTCAATAAAAATACCACAGGTGACTTTTCTTTTTTAGTACCAGGGATTGAACTCGGGTCCTTGTGCTTGCGAGGCAGGCGGCAGAATCACTGAGCTAAATCCCCAGCCCTGACTTTTTATAGTTCTCAAGAATCAAAGAATCAAATGAGGAAATTCCTTGACAATATTTTGGCCCCATAAAGTGCCCACTTAGATATTTTTCATTTTTAACTATAATAATCTTTTCATCTTATAAGCATAACCATGGCCCCTTCACGGCCAGGACATCTGGGGTACATCTTGATCACTGAATTCATACTTTTCCTTTAATTTCTAAGAACTCTATAGATCTCTAGGTCTAAACTCAGGTCAAAAGCTTTCCTACTCTTACAGTGGCAAACTTTGCTCTACCAGATCTCTCAGAGCAGTTACCATGATAACCCTAACACTGAAAACTAGCCACATCTACGGCTCCCTAGGACTGATCCTGGGGAGACACTGAGCGCTTCAGGGGGCAACAGACATGAATATATCTTTTAGCTGATCTAGTCCTAGAATGTTAGGGCTCAGGGATTCTAAGACTAGCCTATGTCTTACAATGCAGCACAGATTCTGGGAGAAGTTAGGATAGTCCTACCAACAGCTGTTAAATTCTCTCTATTGGAAAGAGGTGGCTGCGGGTCTACCTAGCTTAAACAATAGTATTTTACAGAAAAATTAGCGAAGAAGCAACCTATAATTTGGTTTCATTTGCTGCTTTTTATCTCTAGCCTAGGGCTTTGGTTTTTTGATTCTGTAACTTTAAACTGCATGTGCATAAAAAACACACACACATACTTTTTTTTTGTAATTCAGCAACAAAACTGACAGGTTATAGAACAAGAAAGTCAAAGATCTAGTGAGGGTCAGGAATGCATAGGCTTAAAGGTTTAATTTTAAAATTGGGTGTGAAGCTGGATGCAGTGGCACATGCCTACAATCCCAGCATTGAGGGAGACTGAAGTAGGGGGATGAAAAGTTCAAGTCCCAGCTCAGCAATTAGTGAGAACCTGTCCCAAAATAAAAAATAAAAAGGGCAAGGGGACATAGCTCAGTGCAAAGGCTCTGGGTTCAATCCCTAATACTGAGAAAAAAAGAATACAGTAAAATGAAATGGGATGTGAACCTTGATCTATGCACATACTCACTACCCTTGAGCTTAGGTATCTTCTCAATGTCCAGAGCAAGTCATGACTAGTGGCTGCCCTATTTGGCTTACCGATTTTTTTTTTAAGGTACTAGGAATTGAATCCAAGGCCTTTGTACTGAGCTACATCCCTATCCATTTTCTATTTTGAGACAGGACATCACTAATTTGATAAATTGTCAAGGATGGGCTTGAATTTGCAATCCGCCTGCCTCAGTTTCCCAGAGTGGTGGGATTACAGGTGTGAGTCAACTAGTTACTACCCAGACAGGTTCATCTCTGCTGAAACAAGGACTCAAAATCCTTCTCTAGATGATAGTAGCACCATCCAAGTCACTTGCGCTCCATCCATAATTCTCAGCAAAAATCTGTCTACTGTTCCTAACCCTTAAGGCCTAATAATCTAAAATTGCTAGATTCTCGGTGAGGCCTTTAACAGGTACATCTAAAGGTAAGGCATCCCACTGTAATGAAATACATGGGTTCAAAAGTCCCTGGGGATAAGCTTTATCCTGTGAAACTTTGCCAGGTAAAAATTGTGGAAAATCAGCTGTAAGTGGCTGCAGGACCTACAAAAGGCAAGAAGTCTCTGGCTCTTCAGGGTAGGTAATATACCTGCTCACAACCAGATCTCCAGTGGGAAGAAGGTGGAGAGGGGGGCAAAGAGGCCGGTTCAGAGGTTGGCTCTAAATGCTGCAGAGAGACGTGTTCAGCTGGCCAACTGAGCCCAGGTCTCCTGAGACAGGACCAAAAGGTCTTATCTGGGTTATTGTTTAGCAGACAAGGGCTCTCTTATAAACTTCTGAGTCTCCATATTAAACTTTCACAGGACATAACCAGAATATTGCTTAACATGCACTTTATGGAATGAATCAAACCTGAAAAAAAAAAAAGCAAGCAAACTGAGTAGTCAAAATTCAGGGATCTGCGGCTGCAAGGATGAAGAAAATGAACACTGGGTGACTTTTTCAAAATGATGAAACAGTTCCACAGAGAACATTCTTAAGTAGTCTATGTTCAGGATGAGGTACGTGGTCTCTGCAAGTCACAATCCCTGGAACAGATATGCTGGCTAGTCTCTGCAAATCATGGGGAAAATTTTCCTGGAGAACACAATAAATTCCTTTTACTGGAGATGGTCTCCAGTGAAGCAAAGACCTAAGAAAAATAAAATGTCTCATGGCTTATTACTAAAGTGAACTGACCTTAGAAGTTGTCTGGATTATCCCCATGATTAAAAAAAAAAAGTGCTCTCAGCAGCTTTAAGAGACAAGGAAGAATGAATGCTATTAGGGAAACAAATGTAGAGATGAATGACAGATTCCAACATCAAGTTGCCAAGGGATGAAATGAGAGGAAGACAGTCTTTCGGAGATGGTACTAAATTGGGACCTAAAATTTCTACCTGCTGGTTCTTCTAAAATGCCAGTGGAACCAGATCGTTTACCCAAATGGGCAGAAAAAACTTGGGATAATTCCAGCTGTCCAGTTGCCAGTTCAGATCTTACTCCTCATTCACCCTTCAAAGGAGGCAACCTGTGGAGCTGTTGTAATAAACTGGGGTCCCCACTTAGCACACTCCGCCTCATATGTGGTTCTTTGTATGTGAGTCTCATCTTTTCAGGCCCTCAGACAGAAGTACCTATGTCTATTACTCTGTTTTCCCTGCACACCTGGCAGGAAGCTTTGCATACTGTGGATGCTCAATAAACATCAGACAAGTGAAGAATGAATGAATTGTTGTGTTATACATAAGAGGTCGATAGAAGAGAGGTTCCCAGGAGAGCTGCTCCAGAATGCTGTTACCATGTGCCTGAGATAAAGCCAAATTTGCCCTGAGAGCTACTCTAAGCTTCCCAGGGGCTACTCATCCTTCCCATGCCTACCTATCCTCCTATGACTCCCGAGGGCTCTAAGATAATTCTATAGAGCATGGTATTCAATTTATGTTGTTTGCCAAAAACTGGTACGGGGCATTCTGTGGAGCCAACATTTAGAACTCACAGCAATGTAATAATCCAACAAATCCCAAAAATGAGAGGAATTGATGGACTGCAGTCAAATGGCTATCTTGTTATCTTTTCACCCCTTTCTACCTAGCATAATAAGTATTAAAAATGTTTGCTAAATAAATGGTGATGTGTAGAGTCTGCTATGCATTTAAACAGCTGATTGGGGTACTAGGGGCACATGGGATACCTGATAACCTGAGAGTGGTTCAGGTTGAGGTAGATAAGGAAGAGAAGGTCAAGTGGGGAAGCACTGCTCCAAATCAAAGCTTTCCTAGGTAGCTGGAGTGTTAGTCCAGCTAAGGTCTAGCCAAGGAAAGCTATGTTGCTTCCCCTTTCTCTAGCAAGAAATCTGGTCCAGTCTCATTTCAGTCCTCTGGGCTTTATCCCATTCCCTGCCTAGGTCTCAGGGCTGAGCTTTCTGTCTGAGGAAGGAAGAGGCCTTGCTGGCACAAACTGGCATCAACAGTAGCTGAAGGAGAGTGGAGAACTTTTCTGTGAGTGTCTCATGCCTGTTTCCTCTGGGACCATACCTATTTGGCTCACCTTCAGGCCAAAGAGGGGCCTCCTCACCTCATGTGGACATCCTCCCAAAGGCTGGCTTTTTGAATGGGAGGACAATAATGGAGACACAGTGATAGTTCTTGGAAGGAATCACTAACCACAGAAGTTGCAGACGCGTTGAGAAAGGAACACATTTATAAAATGGAAATCATTATTTTGGCATAGTGCTGGGCTTCTGATGCCTAAGACAGAGATTTATAGCCTGTCTTCTTCATACTAACCCAGCCTCCCACCACTCCAATTTCATGGCACTTCTTAGCTCCCAGCAGGATGGGACTTCCCCGTGGCCCAAGTCTTATAATTCCTATGTACTCTTTTTAAAAATGTTGATTTGGTTAGTAGAAGAAAGCTTTAGTTATTACACAAAATAAGAGAATAAGCATCATAGAAAAGCCAACAAAGAGTAGGTGCTGGTAGGGTGAGAAATGGTAACAGATAACGCAGCTTCCAACCTGAAAAGAATATGGGAGGTCAAGGCCACCATGTCTTGAAGGTCCTGGAACCTAGAGGAAAAAGGGATTTCTTCCTTGGTGATCACTGTAGAACGTCAATGTGAAAACCTCAAATGTCAGTATGGGATCCCCTCCCCCCACCCCAACTCCCATACCGGTAAACTGACCTGCTCAGGGAAGTCTTGGAGAAGTGTGCATGAGAATGGCCAGGAGAATCACACAGACTCCACTACCCTCCAACCCAGCAGCCCTACTTCAACCTCTCATCCCTTCTTCCTGCTCCTTTGGAGCAAGAACCTTTCAGTTCCAAGACTGAAAACATGGTGCTTTGAGACCAATGATTCTACTTCTCATTCCTAATCTCTGAATCCAAATTGACCAAGCACACCAGAGTAAAGACTTGGTTAGCACCCAGGATATGGAGGGACTTCAGATTTCTCCTCCCCAAAATTAAGACCTGAGAGACTTTAGCAGAGCCTGTGCTGACACGTGGATCTATAACTTAGTCCTCGGCAGCTCAGGCCACTAGAGGGAGAGACCCCTATGAAGTGGTGGGCAACAGAAGGCAGGACACGTACAGCCACGATGAGGAAGTCCAGCCAGCACCAGGCATTGGTGAAGAACTTGACAAACCCGTAGGCTGTCCACTTGAGCAACATCTCCAGGATGAAGATGTAGGTGAAGACTTTGTCAGCGTATTCCAGTATAGTGCGAATAGTCTTCCTCTGTTCAATGTAGATGTCCTCAAAGGCCTGAAAGAGAGGCAGCAGCTGCCTGTTATAGTGCTGGAAGGTAAACAGGCACCATGGGATGCACTGTCACTGCAGGCCGTTCCTCCCACAAGCAGCTGGCCTGTCATCAGCTTCCTACCTTCCTCTGCTACAACTCTCCCAACCCCACCCTGTACCTCTAAGGGCTGGGGATGGAACCCAGGGCTTTCTGCATGCAGGGCAAATCTTCTACACTGCACTTCAGGTCCAGTCCAGAGTTTTATATTTTAACAGCTTTCCTGAGGAATAATTTACATACCAGACAATCTAGCCATTAAAATTAAAAAACGGCTTTTAGTACATTCAGACCTGTGCATTCATCACAGTTTTAGAACATTTTTGTTATCCCCCAAAGGATTTCTACACCCTTTAGCTATCACCCCTGGCCTCTTCATCCATTATTCCTAGGTAACCACTAATCTACTTTCTGTCTCTATAGAGGTGCCTATTCTGGATATTTCATGTGGGATCTACCACCTTGGGGACATTCACAGTGCTTCAGGAAGCATAGTAGATGCTCACAGATGAAACAAATAGCTCTGGGACAGGCAGGGTAGTCTGGCTCTTCACCACTTAGATCAGTGGCTACTAATGCCATCCTTTGGGCCGCCCACTTTAATTCTGATGCATCCTTGCATAAACCTCTCACTCTCCATGATTTTCTTCATGAAAGCTGTCCTCTTTGTCCTTGGGCTCCTCATTACTATACATTACTGTCTCTCTTATTCTCCTACCTCATGAGTAAGTGAAACTTCTTGAGTTGCTAGTATTGTAAAGATATTTAACATTGAATTTGTCCTGGCAGAGGAGGTGACTGTTCAACACCCTGTTGCTTCACTGATGAATGATAAACACCAAGGACAATGTGAATATAATAACCCCTGCACCAGAGATCTAACTGAATGTTTGCTAACATCAGTAGAGCATGAAGGGAGTAGGTGGAGGAACAGCACCTCCTTCCTATCTTGGGCAACTAAAATGTAACAAAATGGGAGATGTGGAGTATTAGGTGAGAGAAGAGGTTATCTGAGGAAGCTGTTTAGGATAGGGTGGCGAAGTAGGCAGTAAGGACATAAGGCAATTTGGTGTTCATCCTGATAAAAAGAAGGTCTCAGGCTTGAGATTAGGATGTGGGTAAATGTGGATTGTAATCCTAAAGTCTCAGGACACTAGACCAAAATACTTTAACAGAACATTATCCTTGTGACCACAGCCAATGTGCATTCAGAGATGCTGGGCATGGGCCTCATTCAGCCTCTTCCCCCTGGTTTCACTGTACCCTTCCCAGACAGCCCCTCCTCACATTCTCCCCTGGACCTCACCAGGGCACCACTGCTGAGCAGAATCATGAAGATGATGAAGGTCTCAAACCAATTGTGCTCTACGATGAGAAAGCAGGTTTTCCGCAGGATCCACCAAGACTTGCCCAGCCCTTCCTCAATGTTGACCTGGCAGCACTTGAACCGCTGGACACAACCTGGCACCAGCAGCAGAGAAAGGTCAGACCATGAAAACTCACCCATCCCAGACCTGTCCTTCCTTCCACCTCCTAAGGGCCCTCCTAAGGCTGCACCACTACATGGCCAGGAGGATGGCGACTGTATGACAATTTCTGATTCAGGAACAGAGGAGGTAGTAGAGCTAGCTGAGGCTGTGCTGCAAAGACTAAGAAGGCTACCTGGAGTTGAGAAGATACCCTATAAAGAGGGGAGAAGAAGAGGGTAATAGGAGGCAGGTACAGCTAAGAAAGAAATCTTTTTTCTTTTTTTGCAGTGCTGGTGATTAAACCTGGGGCCTCATACATGCTAGGCCAGTGCTCTGCCACTGAGCTACATCCTAGGCCTGAGAAGAGGCCTATTGACAGTATTTGGGCTGAAGATGGGTAAAGAAATACTGGACAACAGAAACTTGCACTGAGCAACACAACTTTTTTCAAAATGGTGGGATGGGGAACAAAGTTCTTCAAGACTGCCATGGAGCCCCCCACCCTGGCACAACCACATGTCATGAACAGTGCACGGGTGATGAGCACAGTCTTGCCCTTGCCCTTCACCTTCTGTGAAGCAGGCATCTGGATCCAAGTACTCCTCAGGCTGTTCCACAGGGACTTCTTCTACTTCTGGCTTGACATCAATGGTGCTTCCTTCAGAGGAGCTAGTGTCATCCAATTTCTAGACATGAAGGGAAAAGAGAAAAAGCAACTCTGCAGCAGCATGTCCACTCAATACTGATGATTCTACCTCTTCTATGGATGATGCACTACCTGTGATTCTTCTCTGTAACTCTTTTCCAGCTTATCAGCATCCAATGCATGATGGGTAAGTCCTAACTACAAGGACTCAAAGCTTCCAGAAGGATGGGGTAAAACACCAAAACCCAGTTAGAGAAGACAATGACCTACCCTAAGTCAAATGTGGCCCTAGGCAGAGCTACCAATCAGGCAGATTAATGGCAGTGAAGAACTTAGGAGTTTATTTCAATCTCTGATCCAGATCCTCCTAATGTGGTGGAGCTAACCCAGGAACATTTCAGGAAGCTTGGCCATCAAGGGAAGGCCTAGCGTGACAATGGAGTATGGAGTCGTTGTCTATGTAAACTGGACACTATAGGATCTGTTCCCCAAGTCCAGAAATGAACCAATCCCTAGGGCTGACAGAGCCCTGTTTGCTCTCACACAGGACCATGGCTGGTTTCTAGCTGGGACCTTACATCTTTGCTGCCTTCAGGATCCGACTCGCTGCTAACATCTTCTGTGTTGAGGTTCTCAAAATCAGACTCGCCTACAGCAATGGGTACCCGCACAGTCAGGTTGGGATTGTTGATGAAGGACATATGGTCTTCATCAATGATGTACTTCTCCACACTGCTGCCGATGCCACTGGTTGTGCCATTGCCATTCTTCTGGAAGTCACCATTCCTGTGGATGTCTGCACCAGTGTGGTTGGCAATACAGTTGGCCTTCTTTTCATAGAGCTCATCCAGGGGTTTCACTTCATCCCCCTCACGCTGCTTAAAGTGAGCCTGCATAAAGGCATGTACTTTCAGTTTGGTCCAAGCCACACCTTTCTTGATGCGGATGACTGAGATCTGTAGGTTGTTCATTTCTCCATCATCATCTGTGGCTGCCAGGTTGTCTGCACTGAAGGAGCTCAGAAGCAAGGCCAGAAACAGATTCAGCACCTGCACCAGCAGCATTAGGAAAAAGAAATAAATGTAGAAAGATATTAGGAAAAGTTATCCACTGTACTAGGGGTTGCAAATTGGAAGCCAATGGAATTTATATAACAGATTCAAGAAGTTCTGTTGTGTTTTGTTTGGCTCATATATTATTTTGAATATTTACATCACCATATAGGAATTTTTTGGGGTTTGTTTTTAATACAAGTTAGTCCTTTCTAGACTCTTTCACAGTTTTACATTTGTATACATGTATCCTAAAATATATCACTTCTTTAAAAATCAGAAAAAGCAAAGGTTATATTCATTTTGGTATAAAATTATTCAAAAATAAGAACAAAAAGGTGGATACAGATTATTGGGGAAAGACAAAAATACACAGATGCCTGTATTCATAAACAGACATTTTAGAGGACCCATGTTAGAAAAAATTAGACTCAGAGAGTCACATTTCCTTTTAACAAATCAATAATGTAGAACTTAAGTCTACTTCATGTCATCTTATTATAAGAATAAATTTTGGGGGTAAGGACCTAGCTGTGTGGTAGAGCAAGGCTCTGGATTTGATTCCCAGTGTGTGCATGCATGCTCACACACAAACACATGCAACTGCTTTGCTTTCCTAACATTTATAAAAATAAAATAACTTTGCCAGGTATGGGGGTCTGAACACACACTTAGGAGACTGAGTTAAGATTGTGTCCAGTAGTTTGAGGCCAAAGAGATTCTGTCTTAAAAAAAAAAAAACAAACTCTGGCGAATGATGGTGACGTTTGTGTTCTATTGCACTGCCATGTGTTAAGCAGTCAGATGCAAACTTTAATTTCTTATTTTACTACATTGGGCATTGTGATTAATTTTTATTAAGCCTGACTTTTGAAAGGTTGGAGAGGTAGTCATTTCCTGATTTATATTTGTTCTTTGCTTTATCATAGATCAAGGTGCACATTTTAGGTGGAGTTAACAGTACGTACAGAGTGGGAGAGTAGAATAGCAAATATTAAAAAGAAGTATGGTCGGGAGTGGTGACTCACGCCTGTAATCCCAGCACTTGGGAGACTGAGGCAGGAGGATTGCTGTGAGTTCGAGACCAGCCTGGGCTACATAGTGAGTTCCAGGTCAGTCTCAACTACATAGTGAGACCCTATCTC